TTGCCTTCAGCAACTGTATGACTTTGAACAAGTCATTTAACCTTGCTAGGATTCTTCATTGCAGCCCTTCCAATAAAATATACTATCAAAATGCAAATTATTATTATATTACCCTACACAAAATTAAAACAATGCAAATAGAATCATTTAAGTTAATCATTTTGTCTACCTCTTTGCCTAACCATGAAGAATCCCTGTGGTACATTCTAGTGAGGTTTGTTCAGTACAGGTTGAAATGACCTCATCAAAGTGATTTTTATCATTTGTTTTGAGAGGCGGTATCATTAATCTTTTATGCAACCCCCTCCTTTTTAGGCTCACTTCAGTTAAATAGGCAGGGAGAAGAGAATGTTGAACAACATTATAAAAATGTTAATTCCTAATGTCACTGACTAGCTCTTAATCACGCTATTAGACATATGTTCTGATTTAATGATCCTAATCAGCATGCAGTCAGACCAAGATTGACTTTGATGAATGTCTAACATTATTTTGTGATATAAAAGAGGTTGTTTTTCTTGTTGTCTAAACCCTTCCTTAGAAATTACATTCTATGTAGAAAGAAAGAGAATGTAAAATACTTTCTTTGGTTTCCAGAATCTTCTTTCCTAAACCAGCATCTTGATGATTTGTGTTTTGATCATACAATGAAACATTTGGGTGCAGTTATCTGTAATTATTTGTCCTTAAAACTTTGGTGGCTCCTTCCTCTTATTTTTAAGCTCAAAATACTTAACTACAGTCAATGAGATGAGATATCTTTAGAATGTGCAAAATCTCATTATTTCAAACCGTTGCTTCCTAACAATGCTGTAGTGAAAATCGGATCCCCTTTCCTTGTACCTCTTACTTGCACCCTTTTCCCTGGTGGCACCATTTGCTGAAGTCCTTCTCAACACAAAGCCTCCAGTCAAATGTCACCATTTCTATGAAATTAAAATCATTTCTGTAAACTATTTCTCAGGAATCTTGGACAAAATTCATAGCTGCTTCTTCTGGACTTTCCTAACATTTTATTAACTTCTATATTTTGACCCTAATCTCATTCTGACTTACATTTCTTTTAGCTGTGTATATGTCCTTCTTCATTAAATGTTATGAACTCCCTTGGGGCAGTGATAGTCTATTAAAATTTGTATAGCTAGGATATCTCCCCGCGACCTTCACACAGCATAGAATTAAGCAATAATTGAATGGAATGATTATATATATGTATATATATAATATAATATACACTCATAATTATATCAGTTCATTTAATCACACTGTTTTATGAATCATACATATACATATATGTATGCATGTACAGGTTTTATAAATCCTATATATACATATGTGTGTATGTGTGTGTGTGTATATATATATACATATATATATATATATATATATATATATATGTATATATATATATGGCTTTGAATCTTGCATCACCTATAGGTAGAGGCTGTGACAGGTGACAGTCAATGATCGGCCATGGGAATACTTTCTCCAATGTTCTATGCAGAATTTCTAAAGGAATACATGGGTGGGAGCACTGAGCCAGGAAGAGCTAAGCCAGGACCATGAGCACTGGGGAAACTGCTCTCTAAATTTCAGGAAGATCCAAGCACCATATTTGAAGGGGACAAAGGTGGTGTGAGAGTCCGGGTTACCCTGCCAATAATTGGGACTTGAGTTGGGACGGACTCAGAGTGAACACAGATTGGGTTCAAGTAAAGGGACATGCGGGAGTAACGAAGGGTCTTCCTAAGGGACTGCTAAAATGTCGGCTCTAACTGCTTACATTTATGGGCCAAAAGGTAGATAATTAGTTGAGCCAAACAAAATTGCCATTACTCTTTATTTTCCTCATTCACCGATGTCTCTTTATTTATGTTTCCAACCAAACTGCAGTTGAAAGCAGGACTGTCCTTTATCACTGTGTTTTACTTCCTTAGAATCCCTACAGAATTTTTGTATGTGGTTGATATTTGCTTTGTGTTTTATCAGTGATTGCTACAATAATGCTGTACTGCCAGTTGCCACGACTCAGTGGCATACAGTGTTCAGGACTTTTTCTCATGCTCACAGGTCTGAGCGTCAGGCAGGATGGCTGTGCTCCATGTGCCACATCCTGAGGTCCACCAGGAGAGGCTGTGACCATCTGGATTGTGTTCTCCCGTGGTGTCAGAGTTGCTTCCAGGAGCAGTGGAAACATGCATGCCTCTTAAGGTCTAGACTGAGCTGACATGCCATCATTTCAGTCCGTGTTCCAGGGGGGAAAGCAAGTAGTGAGACCAAGACATCAGTGGGGCGGGGATATTTACTACTCCTATGAGCCCACTATAACACATGCGGGAAATCCAATTTCTCCAGTAGCCAAAATTTGGAGAAAGGGTGCCGATTCTTTTCCTGACTACATCATTAGAGTCATGAATGAAAACAAATCAGTCACCCTTTTTGATCGTCAGTTTCTTCATTTGTTATGTTCCAGCTCATACTCTGTGGGGGAGTAAACACAAACCTGGGACATCTAAGAGGAAAATTCTGCTGTAACCCTCCTGCTCTCAAATATATGTGTGTGTTTCTTCTTTATTCTCTATATTTCCTTTTCTTTCTTCTTGCTCACTGATATTCAATCAGTCAAAACAGTTTGCAACTTTTATACTAATTGTCAGACATGAGGGGGGGACCTCAAGCCTCAGTGACACAAGGCACTGGTAGATTCGAAACAAAACAAAGTGTTGAGTGGCTAATGGCACTTCTAGAGATTTAAGGCACCAAATAAGAATTGGTAAAACTACTAGAAGGCAACATTTGCACCAGAGTATACACAAATTGGTTGTTCAGAATTGAGACCATTGATAATAATGCTATTAATAAGATCACAACTTTGATTCCACTTATAAATAAAAATAATTCATGATGACATTGAATTTCACCATGTGATCAGGATTCTCGATTATGGAGGAGAGGTCTGGGCAGTGCCAGGAGGGAGAAGTGGAGAGATTTCTTCCTATATCTTGTGCCCAAAGCCAACATTAGCACACATCTGAACACACAATGTTTTACCCTTGTGTTACCTGGACTCACACACTGGGACGATCCACCTAAGCTTACCTCAGTCCTGAAAGTGCTTTTTGTTCTAAGTAAACCCACCAGACCTCTACACCACTTGAGTAAGGCTTATCTGAACTAGTGGTTAGAAAGAAAGCAATTCATTTGAACTAGTGCTCAATGATTTATAGCTGTTTGGAAATAGGTTAAATGGATTTGTACCATTTAGAATTATTCTTTAAAAAGAAGATACTAGTGAACAGACATCTCTAACTGGGATTCTAACTTAAAAGCTAATAAAGGGACTTGAAACATTATACACAGTGTGAAGAGTAGTATTTTGGGGTGAGTATAGTCCTTCAGGCTGTCTGTCCCCTGGCTCAGCACCCCTAAGATACTTTTGTGTTTCTTAGTATTTGTTTTATCTTCTTCTCATTACTTACAGGTTCTTGGAAAACCCAGATTGTCATTCTCTTCCTACTTGCCTCAGTGACTTCCATAAGGATGTTAGTAATGAATGCAATTCAGAGGAAGTTGTTGCTATTTGTATGCATGAATAATTTATAAATTATATGTTTGTACATCAGGAGTTGTATATGAAATCAAATCTTGACTAGGCAGAATTCCAAAATAGTGACATCTTCAGACAAAAGTTATTGTTCTACTTTAAAATGATAAATCATGAAAAATGGCTCTCAATAACTATTTCTTTCATTTTTAAAAAATAAACACATATTAAGTGCCTGCTGTATGCCAAACAGAAACAGACCAGTGGTTTCCAAAGAGGAACTAGGCCTAACCCCATTCAGCCTAAGGGTGTATAACACCTCTATCTCTGCCTACATCTGTTGTTTTGGATATCTTATCATCTTCTGGATAATAATTTTTATCTACTTAAAAATTCCCAATTATACAAGATAACTTCAACAGATTTTACTAAACTAAACTTTGCAAAGAAAAAAAAAATTGAAAACTGACAAGGACAAGACTCAAAAATAGTTTTCTGTTAACTACATAAACCAGAGATTAGAGGTGGCATCCTAGCTTTGTATGGGTTAAATATGACATACAGAGGGATTTCATTGGCCTATGCAGTATTGACCTTCATAATATTTCTTTTGTCCAAATTTCTGAACTTCAAATATTATGACTTCTCTTTAAAAAATTCAAAAGATATGGTAACCCTGGCGTTAATCTTTGTCATGACAGAAATCAGTGTGGGGTAAGACAGGGCCACCCTATCCTCTGAGCCAACACTCTCCCCCTCACCTTCGTGTCCACCCCTCCCCACAGTCTACCAGAAACTGAGGACTAAGGTCGGGCTAATATTGGCCCTCATGCTACTATTTATCCTTTTGTAGTTTTAAAAGGAAATTAATTTTTGTATCTATATATTCAATATATTTGGTCTAAGGTCTAGCTCAGTTTACTCAATTGTGACGCCTGCCTGATTTGGTTAGCATTTGAGCTTGTGACCCTGAGTCTAAACATTGTGATTAATCAATATCCTATTATAGAAACGCTTTTTATGAAAGTGTTGTTTATATGAGCACATGCATATAGATATCTCTCTATGTGTGTATATATATTGAGAGAGAGATAGAGAGAGAGAAAGAAAAGAAAGGAAGGCAGGGAGGAAGGAAGGAAGAAAGAAAGAAAGAAGGAAAAAGAAAGGAAGGAAAAAAGGAAGAAAGAAAGAAAAAAGGAAAGAAAGAAAGGAGAGAGAACAGAAGGGAAGGAGAAAGAACAGAAGGGAAAAGAAGAAGGAAAGAAGGGAGGGAGGGAGGGATATATATATATACATTGTACGTATGTATGCACATATGTATATATATATATATATGTGCATACATACGTACAATGTATATATATCCTTCGAGACATTTTCATCTCACTTTCTGTGACATCCTCTGTGCTATTTCAGGCTTGCTCCACTCTGACTTGTGAAGCATCTTGTCTTTCAGATGGAACCCCATTGACCTGGTGGATCGGACGGTCCAATGAAAGACACCCCTACTGGGGAGGTGCCCCTCCCGGAGTTCAGCAGTGTGACTGTGGCCTAGACGAGAGCTGCCTGGACATTCGACACTTTTGCAATTGTGACGCTGACAAGGACGAATGGTAATGCACGTCCTGATCCCTCTGCACTCGTGGAGGAAGCCCACAAAGGGATGCATAAAATGTCCCCTAAGATAAGAGAATGGATGAGAGATTCAATATGAACTAGGGCTCCTGAATAACGGTGATTGCTTTAACTTTGGAAATTTATAGTCCTCGTACTTTCAGGGCTATTGCTGAAGTGTGTAACATAAAGCATGTTGCCACACCATCACCCCTTTATATTCTGAACATTCCATTTTCAACAGGAGAATGAAATGTAATATTTAACTTTGCGATTTAGTCAGCATTTCTGTAATGTGTAGACTATAGGCTTTGGGAGAAGGTGTGGGAGATAGGGATGTGTAATTATACAGACTGTTTTCTTTATTCTCCCATTGTCCCACTGATGATCCAGTCACTGGCCTGCCCTATTATTGCCACTAAAAATAGAGAAAAGAAAATTTATATTTATTAAACACCTATTTAATCCTCATAACAAGCTATTAATTCTTTTTTTGTATTATTTTTTATTGAAGCACAGTTGATTTACAATATGTTAGTTTCAGGTGTATAGCACAGTGATATATATACTCAGTTTCTTTTCCCTTATAGATTATTACAAGATATTGAGCATATATCTTGTAATAATCTATAAGCATATATCTTGTAATGATCATATATTTCCTGTATTATACAGTAGGTCCTTTTTTATGATATTTTAAAAATTTTGTATTGGAGTATACTTGTTTACAATGTTGTGTTACTTTCAGGTGTACAGCAAAGTGATGCAGTTATACATATACATATATCTATTGTTTTTCAGGTTCTTTTCCCATTTAGGTTATTATAGAATATTGAGTAGAGTTCCCTGTGCTATACAATAGGTCCTAGTTGATTGTCTATTTTATATATAGTAGTGTGCATATGTTAATCCCAACCTCCTAATTTATCCCCCCCTCCCCTTTCTCCTTTGGTAAACATAAATTTGACAGAGAAAACAAACCTATTAATCTTTCATAATTTTCTCACTTTTGCATCTTAAGGTAGAGGAATGTAGATTTCAGAGAGGTTAAGTACTTTTCTGAAGGTCACACAGGTCTATTAAGAGGCGTATTCAGAATTTGAATTCTGGTATAGCTGAGGCCATACTCTCTCTTCCTCCCCCACAGCAAGTTACTTTTGTAGATAAAGTTTAGTTTTAGTTCTCATGGCTATCACATGTAGTTTTCCTTTGCCCTCCAGGTCAACTGCTTATTTTTTTTTTACTGTACTGATTATGAAAATATGCACAGAACATTTCCAAACCCACTTTGGTTTTGACTGAATTTAAGACATTCTTTGGTTTTGGCTTTATAATTGTACTTGCTTCATCAAATGCTGCTCAAGTATAGTTAAGAATTCCTATGTCAACCTGCTCTCAACCTAGTGGAAATGGCTTTTAAGTACTTTCCCTTCACTGTTTAAATTGATGACAGCTGGAATGTTTCAAATAAAATTTTAGGTCCACTTGACACCTCAGTTCAGTGAGGAAAAGACCAAGAATGTGGTTCCATCAGGTTACACTAGATGAACCACAGCTTCAGAATGTTGTAGGGCTGCTTGGGCCCCACGTCGCGTGGCCTGAGTCTGATCTCAGAGAGACAGCAGTGAGCAGTCTTGAAGCAGGATCTTAGTTCCCTGCCTAGGAATTGAACCTGAGTAGCCTGGATGAAAACTAGGAATCCTAGCCACCAATCCACCAGGGGCTAGAGACTGGGAGCAAAATTGCCCTGGCTCTTGCCCTCATTTGAAAGCTAGACTGTTTCAAGGAGGCAAAAACTGCAGAAACAGGTACAAAGTTTATTCTTAGAAACACAGTGCAACATGTGGGAGAGCACACAGGGAAGCAGTTTATTTAGACAAAAGCAAAACAGGAATAAAACCCAAGGAGAAAGGGTGTGGGCATTCTCCCTAATGAGGAGGACCACAGTAACAATGTGCTTAAGTCATTTATGTAGAGGCGGTTCTTCCGGGTCTTTGTTCTCCTCTGGCCAAATATTTTACTTCTTTTCCCATATCTGACCTGTCTTAGGGCCCTTACCAATACGTGTGCACATCTTTTTGCCAAGGTGGATTCCAGCGTGGAGGCCTTTGGGAGCTTTGACAACACTTACTATGGGATGGCGCCCCCTCCCTTTTTGACCCCAGAGGAGCCTCCCTGCACATGTGCCATCGGGGAGGTCTCCTTGACCTCAGGAGTGATAGATGTGGCTCTCCTATCTCTTTACTCAAGCAGAGCTCAGCTCCTGCCATTAACTTTGTCCTTGGAGTGTTAGGGAAAACAGAGCTCCAATTTACTCTTTGACAAACTCCCCAGCTGCTCAGCCCAGGGGCCCAGCTATCTTCTACCTCAGGTCCTTTCTCCTAACATTGCGATCTTCACAGGGGTCAAATCAGATGCAGTTGACTGGACTTCTCCATTCTGTGCACTCCCACTCTACCCTGCAGAGCCCTCTATCACATCTTGGAGGCCTACAAACCAAAAATAACTCTTGTTCTGTTTGGAGACTGTGTCTTTTTTAACATTATATCCCTGAAGACCTACTCTTTGTAGAGTAGAAGATGATGGTAGTTAGCTGAATAGATGAATGTAGAAGACCTTTGAGGAGGAGGAAGGATCCCAAAATGGCATCTACAAGCTTGAGATATGTGTGGAAAGGCTAAATGGTTGTGTGGCCAGAAAAACATAGTCAAAATCCTCTGCAACCAGCAGCTTAGATTTCCTCAGTTTATTTTGATATTTTAATTTTCCTTCACTATGCTGACATTAGAAATGTATAGATTTATAGACTTACATGGAAACATGCTCATTTTATTCTGGATCATCAGAGAAGTTGGTAAGGGGTGTAGAATATAAAGAGTTATTGAGAAGGGGAAGTATTTCTCCTAAGTGCCTTCAATTCTCACTCGCTTGTTGGCTGAATTCTTGATCTTTGCTCACTGTTTCCTTTCCTTTGATGAAACTCTTTCCATACCGAATGCTGCCTCAGTGCCTTCCCTTCCTAGAGTACAAACAACCATGTCTGGGCTTAATTTAAGTAACACTGAGGAGCAGGGCTGGAGAATCACATCACATCACTTAAAAGTGGAAAATTAGACCATCATATTGAAATGCTGCTACTCTCTCTTCTCCAAGACTTCCCACTGATCGTCTCTTTTACTCTGAGTCCAGCCTCTCCCTCCTTTGACCTTCTTACTCATTCACTAACCTTTGAACCCCTCCTATTGACTTCATCATTGAGGTTGTGCTCAGAGAAACTTTTCCTCAACTCTGGTGCTGTCATACCTCTTCCAACATGGGTTATTGCATATTTCATAAGCCTTACCTCTTCCTTTAGAGCCAGGGGAAAAGCTTCATTATGTGCCACTTTCTGTGGCCAGCAACCTTTTATTTAATTTTAGATGTAGGTTTTGTTCAACAGTCAGCCTATGAAGGATCAAGAGAAATGATCTGAACTTCCCTTTGTAAAGATGCCCACATTACCCATGGCTGTCCTAGAGTTATGTTGAATATCTCATATATATATATATATATATATATATATATATATATATATAATACAGGGTATAGTGTATAAAATACTAAGAACATTTCAGTGTATGATTGTTAAATGACAATGTTTCCTAGGAGTTGCAATATAGTAAACTGCTATCTACTAAATTCTATACAAGCCTAAAATCAGTTTTTTGATTCACTTTACCAATCCAGGTGAGATCAGGAATTTCCTATCATTCTCATGAGGGGGCAGATTCTGATTTCACTCTTCTAGATTTCACTGTTTTAGGACAAGTCATAACCTGTCATAAACGATGCTGGAAAATAATGTATTATAGAGGCAACTGTACGTACTTTTCCAGCTGACATTTACTCATATATCACATGTCTAATGAGTGCTTACTCTGTGCAGTCAGGCAGTCTGCTGTGCAGAGAAAATCAAGGGCATTACAATCCCTGCCCTTGAGGAACTCGCAGGACAGTGGAAAAGAAAAGGCTAGTTATTTAGTAGTAAATGTAACAGTGTGATGACTTCGGTTATAGAGAGAAGCACACATGTGCTTCCGTGTCAACCTGGGGTGCCCATGGGCTGGGATAGTTCGATTTCAAAGAAAAGTGTAGTTAAATTCTGAAGGATCAGAAGAAGTGAGCTAAAGTTAGTGTAGTACAGGTAGGTGCTGCTATGTATTCAGACACGGAAATGTGAAATAATATAAAAATCACTACTTCCCCCAAATATAAGTATCTTGGTATAGTTTCTGCACAGTTTCCATGTGGGGAACTTATAGGAGATGTAGGCAGGGAAGAAGGTCAAATCCAGATCACGAAGCTTCTTGTATGTGAAATAACAATGAGAGAGCTTTGCTTTGTCTATAACAGGAGTTGTGGACATAGAACATACATTCAGAGTGAAACGCAGCAGAGCCTTGTGGAAATGCATTCATTATTTAAATATTCAATTCTATTATTTACTACAGAAAGGTAAAGCACAAAAGCTGGCACTACTATGAAATGGTCATGTTCTTTAATATTCTTTCAACCTGATTCTTAGATAACATGTGGTCCAGCTGGCTTTCCATACATTTCAAACTTTTGTTTTAGACAAGCATGCCCCTTTTGGTGTCCAGGTGCTTCTAAGAAAGCTCAAACATATTAACCTTATAAATTTCCCTTAAGTTTCTGCTCTTGGTAAAGTTAGTCAGAATACTGATGTGGGCTGGTATAGCATTTAGTAGATAGCAGTTTGATGTATGATGATTCCTAGATAATATTGTCTCTTAAAAATGTTAAGTATCAGAGAAAGACAAATATATGATGTCGCTTATATGTGGCATCTAAAAAAGTGATACAAATGAACTTATTTATAAAGCAGAAACAGATTCAAAGACATAAAAAACAAACTCATAGTCACCAAAGGGGAAAGGTGGTGGGGAGGGATAAATTGGGAGTCTGGGATTAACATATACACACTACCATACATAAAATA